ATTGATTTAAATCTTAACGATAAGCAATTAAATATGGCAATAAAAATTCAGTAGAGAACCACCAACATAAATATACGAAGTGAAATTTGTTATTCCTCCAAATTTTATTTTAAATACACTTTATGCATATATGGCACAACTATCTAGCAAGTAATCTTTAAAATATGATTAGAAGTTAATCATCAAATTAAATAAAATATTCTAATGAAAATTCAAGAACACTATGTTAGGGTTTGTGACTCTGCTGATACTTTTAAATATACACAGGTGAATGCTTTCCTCTCTATTTTTGCATCTTCATAAAGGTAGCTTCATTGTTAAAAATCTGTGTTTATTCCAGATTTTAAAGCATTTTTTTTATTTCTTAGAAGAAATCCAGTGGAACTTAACAGGAAGGACTATAAGGAGAACTAGAGCATGTGGGAAGAGCGGGCAGGACACGGCTGGCCTACACCTATGCGAGTCTGTAGGCAGGCTCTGCTCTATCAGCTACCAGCTGTGTTTTCAAGTCCTGTCTTCTGTGACTTTGGTGGTTTATCCTTAGTTCTCTTTTTGCTACTTTCAAACCTCCCAAAAATTGTTCAGCTGTTAAAAAGTTCCAAAATAAGCAAATGTGTTCCTGGAATCCGACCCTTAACTTTGCTGGAGAACATATACTAAGGCTTCTTCTGCAGCCAAAATAATAAAAGATCTGTTAAGTGGCTGAAATTCTTGGTTGATTGCACATACATGCCAATGTCAGACAACTATAAATAGAGAGATTTGAAAGAAAAATAGGGAGAGTCTTTATAACTCCAATGCAATAAAGTGGAGTGTTTTGAAGGCAGTCAGGAAACAGTACATGCATTTATAAAATTAAGATTTGTGTCTCTTCAGCCCCAAATCCCCTTAGAGCAGGAAGAGCCCACCCAGATCATGCACTTCCAGTATAAGGGAATAAACCAACTTTCTTTTCTTTATTGATGTATATTTATTATTCCCAATCCTATAATTAAGATTTCTTCTTTATATTATCCTTTTTGAGTTTAGATAGCTGCTAGGTCTTTTGATATTTTTCTCCCATCGGTGCTTTGTTTGCCCAGAATACTAAAAAAATCCTTCAAAGGATAAAATTATGCCCATGGTTACTGGTGTAAATGAAGTCAGCAGGGAGTTGTATGGGTGTTACCTAGGGCAGAGTTGGCCCCCAAATAATCTGGGTCACATGTTACAGCCGTTCAAAGAGACTTGAGGATTCATTTCTCAAGAAATCCTTATTCTCCCAGGCAGGTGAACATACCCACTGGCTTCAATAGCTGAGTTAATAAATATTTTTAAAGACATTGTTACTTAATTTTGAATAGTGACTTACTTCTTTATGTTAACCTACCCATCTGTTATTAACCCATCTAAATTGAATTCAAATTAGTTCTTGCAAATGAGTTCACTCTGTTTTGAATCTATTACTGCTGTACAAGAGAATTTACCAGTTGCTTCAGTTTCATAATTGTGCTGTAGACAAGCAAATTTGTTTGTAGCGATGGAGAAAGTCAGCACTTGCTCAATAGGGTTTAAATGCAGTGCTTCGGAATTCAGACCTCACTTTGAAGTGAGAAGTGTTGAAATGTCAATGATGGTTGCAGGGTCACATGTCCATGTGGAGGAAGAATCAATAATCTAATTAATGTCTCTGAATTCTCAGTTCTTTCTAAATTGCATGGGGTTTGAATTGCCTAAGGCTAGAGCTTGTTGGCTCTAAGGATTCAGTATGTAACACTGGGATACCAGAAAGTAGTATTTTAATAAAAATTTTTAGTGCTGATTTTCTTACTTAGTATTTTCTGAAATAAATCCTTAAGGCAACAAAAATAAGATTTACAGGGACTTAAAATTAGCATGTTTCTAAACAAGTCATGATGATCATTAAAAAAATTTAGCTCAAGTTCAGCTTTTAATATTTTTACCTAAAATGTTTTCAAAGTAATCTAAGGTGGGACTCAGTTTATTAAATAACTTTGAATTAATTCTCAAAATTTTAAAAAGCATATGTGATGGTAGAGATGAAAAGAAAATCATTAACTACAATTCTATCAACTGATTAACAAAAACTTTACATGAACATGTAATACTGTCTTCAGTATTTTAGATTTTGTTTTTGGTTGAAAAATTATAAATCCTATATTCATGGAAAATGCAAGTAATAAATATCTCTAAAGTAATTTCTTAAAAAGACACTGTGCTCTTATTTGTAAGCAATAATATTCCTAAGAATTCTTATTGGCCCTCAAAAGTAAAAGCTGTTATCTTGAACCTTTTAAAAAAAATTTTAAAGATTGAGTACAACACATAATTTTTAAAATTTCTAAAGCAGCACTACCAGGATTGCACATCCTGATTTTTGTCAATGAAATTACCTATTGTTATTGTGACATAAGCGATACCTCCCAGAGAAAGGAAAGCATCAGGTCTTAGGTGGTTAGATTGAAGTGAAACAACACAAATGTGAGTACTACTTCAGTTTTCTTCTTCTCTTTGGAAGACATTACATAACTTAGTTTCTCCTGGGATAGAGCAATGTAAATGGACAAGAGAGTCTTCTCTGAGGGGCATATATGTTAGTGTGCCCATGACGGCAGGTGCTGAATACAACTGCAACAATAAATAATGGGAGGGGCGCATATGAGTTCACTATGGAATGACTGGTGAGTCATTCCACAAGAGGGCAGTGGAAGAAATATCAAGCATCATTTATAGACCTCTTCCCCCAGGGCCCTGTGTGTTGTAGACTATTCTAAAAGTACATGCATTTATAAAATTAAGATTTGTGTCTCTTCAGCCCCAAATCCCCTTAGAGCAGGAAGAGCCCACCCAGATCATGCACTTCCAGTATAAGGGAATAAACCAACTTTCTTTTCTTTATTGATGTATATTTATTATTCCCAATCCTATAATTAAGATTTCTTCTTTATATTATCCTTTTAAGTGGATAAGAATTGTCATATATTTTCATGGGCAATTTGGAGGCCATTCTAGCTTTGTCCAGCTGAAGGAAAGAAAAGGAGTTATCTAAAGTGGAGGCTATTTTCTACAAATAATATTATATGTAAGCTAGAGGCCCGGTGCACGAATTCGGGGGTCTCTTGGCCTGTCCTGCAGGATCGGCCGAAACCGGCTCTCCGACATCCCCTGAGGGGTCCTGGATTGAGAGAGGGTGCAGGCCAGGCTGAGGGACCCTACTGATGCACGATCAGGGTTGGGAAAGGACGCAGGAGGTTGGCCAGCCAGGGTGGGGCCCTGGGAGGGCTCCAGGGAGTATCCGGCCTGTCTCGCTCAGTCCCTCTCAGCTGGACCCCAGCAGCAAGCTAACCTATGGGTCGGAGCATCTGACCCCTGGTGGTCAGTGCACATCATAATGACAGTTGATCGATCAACTGTCTGCTCCCTGGTGGTTAGTGCACATCATAGCAACTGGTCGACTAGTCGATTGTCTGCCCCCTGGTGGTCAGTGTACATCATAGCGAGTGGTTGAGAGGCATAACATATCATTAGCATATTATACTTTGGTTGAACAAATGACAGGATGGCCGGACACTAAGCATATTAGGCTTTTATTATATAGGATGTGCCAGATTTTCCTGTTACTTCAAAGATAGGGTTAGAGATTCAACTGCCTTTATTAATTGTTTCATAAAGTGGTTAGTTGGTTGAACAAAACTTTTTGAGCAATTAGGAGAGAGGGATGTGTTTAATCATTTCATTAAGGTGGGAACTATACACTGTATATATTGCTTAATGTATGAAAGCACATAATTAAAATATGTTAGACTGCTGATCAGTGGTGGTGGTGATGGGGGCGAGGGGGTCAGTAAAAGGGTAAGAAACACACACAGAATGCTCCCAGCATAGGGCATGCCTCCCTAAATATTAGGGGGACTCTAGATATTTAGAACTGACTCTTCCAATGACAAATGCAAGGCCATGTGTTAGACAAAAATAATTACACTAGAGTATTCTTCTAAGTATGAATTTAATCAAAATAAATGGCCAGATCTTTCAAGTAAACCACTGCAGAATTTAATGTATAAATTCCATGAGTTCCTCATAATAAGCTGTCCACTGTATCTACTGACAGTATTGATTAAAGACATTGTTATTTAAAAAGGTCCTGTCCTACCTTTTATTTTCATAACTTATGGCATCTATAATTAAAATATAATGACAGTAAAAAGTGAGATAATAACACTAAATTCCCCAGAGACAAAATTTTGGTATGAAAAATTATAGTATATTTTATCAAAGGAGTTCTAGTTACCTTTTCCCTAGCACAGTGCTTGAAATGTGATACCCACAATGAGATGGGTGACTCAATTACTCTGCCTTTCAACTTTCAATGATTTACTAACAGCTTGGCTTGCAATAAAAGACCTTTGAATAACTTGAGTAACCCAGATCTACAGATTTCATCAAATTTTGAAACCAAGAAATAAAACTATTTTAACAAGGTCAGGTGACAGAACAGAAATTAAATAAATGGAGTGCATATACTTTGAGTGATGTATGTACTTAGTTTCCCCATAAAGCTTATGGGGGAAATAGGTGAACTGAAAAAATTTGAAAGATCAATTTTATCTAGCTCAACAGTTGTCACCAACTCTATTTAGATGATAAAATCAGTCATGATATTGTACTTCATAAATGCTATTTTTCTGACACTAAAATGTTTCTTGAAATCTAGTTACAAGATTGACCAAATGACTTTTAGGACTTACAACAATGAAGCAAGGCCACATTGCTCTAGGAACACAACTCGTCTTTATAACTGTGTTGGCTCAGTCTGAAGACAGTGGCTGGCACAGTTAGGGCTCAGTAACTGGTTAATGGTTAAATGAATGGATGAATGAATAATGAAAAAAATGTCATGAAAACTTATCAGGAGAGTCTTAAAAATTGAGAGAGAGAGAGAGAGAGAGAGAGAGAGAGAGAGAGAGAGAGAGAGAGAGAACAATCTGTAAAAGACTTACTTATTCCAGGCTTGTCTAAGGTGTTTAGAGCTGTACACGGTAAAGCGTTCTGAAACAAAGAAAAATGATAAACAATCTTTGTTGCAAATGTATATATTGTTATACTGTTCAAAAAGTGTGTCTAAAAATCAACTTTTAAAAAGATAGTGTTCAACTTAGCCATATTATGCTAGCCATAGGAGGTCTTCATCTTCGAAAACAGGAAGATCTTAACATTTTAAACAATAAAGCATTGTTTAATTTTGACTACAGTGATCTGTTTCATAATCTGGTTTCGTAGTCATTATTTCTTAGAATAACAAAGTTTTAATTTGGTTTAAAAATAAATATAAATTCCAAACTGTAAGTAGATTTACAGGAGAACATTGATGCAATGGTAAAGTGAGACCTGTTGTTTTCTCTATGAAGAGATCTCTGATCAAATACGATACTGTTAGCTCTTCTTTCTTACACTCTATGACATCTGCACTTGCTCTAGGCCAAACTACCAGTGTCTTATAGTGAATATTTATCATTGAAAAACTTTATGTTTTTTCAATTAAAACATAACATTTGTTTTACCAAGTTAAACAGCAAAGTGGCACATAACAGATATTGATAATCTGCCCTGCTCCCGTTGTCTACTTCTGATGATACAGCAATAGTTAATGGCTTCATATGTCTCCACACAATTCTTATGTTAATAAACACATACCCATTCACTATATACACTATTTTAATTTTTTTTTGCTGGATTTTACAATAACCATTCTCTTAAAGTTTTTAGGCATTTACTAATATACACTGGGTAATCCTTCAAATCAAAAAAAAATAGAAGTAACATTGTTATAAAACTCTATGAATATTTCATAGAATAGAAGTACCATAAGTTATCTGATCATTCTCAAGGTGATGAGAGTTTAGGTGGCTCCCTGCTCCTTCAGCTTAAAAACAACGCTTCAGCAAATATCCCTGCATATCTATCTCTATACACTGATGCTTTCATTTCATCTGTTTGGTAGATTGCCCAAAATAGTAAAACTGCTTGGCAAATTGTCTGTACATTTTACATTTAAACAGATGCTGACAGGTCACTTTTCATTTTCCCACAAGCAATGAAAAAATAATGTTTCTTTAATAGTATGCATCCTGGGATGTAAGAATGATTCAACATATGCAAGTCAAAAATATATATCACTTTAATAGAAAAATATCACATGATTGTCTCAATCAATGCAGAAAAATAATTTGACAAAATTTAACATCCATTCATGATAACTCTCAATGAATTGGACATAGAAGGAATGTACCTCAACCCAATAAAGTCCATATATGACAAGCCCACAGCTAATATTATACTTAATGGTGAAAGGTAGAAAGCTTTTCCTTTAAGATCAGGAACAAGACAAGGGTGCCACTCTCACCACTCCTATATAACATAGTAGTAACTGGAAGTCCGAGTCAGAGAAATTAGGCAAGAAAATAAGTAAATGGATAGACAGGCAGGCAGACAGACAGACAGATAATTTGGCATGCAAAATGAAAAGAAGAAAAATTGTCTCTGCTTGCAGATGACAATTTTCTTTTTTGAAAATATATTTTTATTGATTTCAGAGAGAGGGAAGGGGAAAGAAGGATAGAAACATCAATAATGAGAAAGAATCATTGATTGGCTGCTTCCTGCATGCCCCACACAAGGGATTGAGCCCGCAACCCAGCATGTGCCCTGACCGGGAATCAAACCATGACCTCCTGGTTCATAGGTTAATGCTCAACTACTGAGCCATGCTGACCAGGCTGCAGTTGACAATTTTTTATACAGAAAATCTTCAAAATTCCACCAAAAAAGCTAGATCTAATAAACAAATTCAGTGAAGTTACAGAACTCAAAATCAATCTACAAAAATCAGTTGCATTCCCATATACTAATGACTTATCCAATAAAAAAATAAGGAAAACAATACTATTTCTAATAACAAAAACAATAAAATACCTGGGAATAAATGTAACTATGAGTTGAAAGGTCTGTATACTGAAAAGTATAAGACAGTGATAAAAGAAACTGAAGAAGATACAAATAAATGGAAAGATATTCCAAGCTCATAATTGAAAAATTAATATTTTTACCCAAAGTCACTTATCGATTTAATGTGATCCCTGTTAATATTCCAGTGGCATTTTATTTTACAGAAATAGAAAAAATAATCCCAAAATTTATATGGAACCAGAGAAGACCCTGAATAGTCAAAACAATCTTGAGAAAGAAAAAAGCTGGAGGTATTATACTTCCTGGTTTCAAACTTATTAGAAAGCTATAGCAATCAAAACAGTATGGTACTGGCATAAAAACAGACACATAAACTAATGAAAGAGAGCAGAGAGCCCAGAAATAAATTTATGCAGATAAAGTCAACTAATATTTGACAAGGAGCCAAAATACTCAATGGAGAAAAAACAGTCTCTTCAATGAACGTGATAGAAAAACTGGATATGTATACGCAAAAAATTAAAAATAAAACTGCATATCTACCTTATACTACTTACAAAAATTAACTAAAAAACCCCCAAAGAACTAAAGATTTAAATGTAAGACCTGAAAAAACAAAAACAGGGAACCTTGCAATGATTTTATGGGTACAATATACAAAGCACAAGCAACAAAAGCATAATAAATAAGTAGGACTACAAGAAACTAAAGCTCTGCAGAAAAAAAATCAACAAAACAAAAGGCAACCCACAAAATGAGGTAAAATATTAGAAAACCTCATATCTGACATGAGGTCAATCTCAAAATATATAAAAGCTCTTGTAACTCATAGCAAGCAAACAAACAAACCCAAATAATCCAATTTTAAAAATGGACAAAGGACCTGAAAAAATCTTTTTTCCAAAGAATATACTCAAATGGCCAAGAGGTGCAGGGAAAGGTGCTCAACGTCACTAATCCTCACAGAAATGCAAATCAAAACCATAATGAGATATCACCTCACTCCTGTTCAAATGGTTATTATCAAGAAGACAAGAGATAAGTGCTGATGAGGATCTTGTACATTCTTGGTGGGAATGTAAACTGATGTAGCCCCTATGGAAAATGGTATGAAAGTTCCTCAAAAAATGAAAAATATAACTACCACAGGATCCAACAATTTCATTCAAGCAGGGGTAATGGTCAAATACTTAATAACCTGCAAGGCACAGGCATTGACCAAACAGTACAGAAACTGGCCAATGCTATAATGATGTGCATTCTCTGAAGATCGGCTTTACTACAAATATTGATCTAAAGCTATAGGCAAAAGTGCTCACCAACAGAATATCCAATGTCTGAATTATTATCTAGTAGACTGAATTATATAAAGTGCAACATAATTCAGCTAGCTGGTGTAGAGCAGAAATTTAAAGGAATATTCTAGGTTTGAGGATTAACTGACAAAGTAAGGAGAAATGGGAAGAATAGTTCTTTTAATAAAGGCTTTTTAAAAATTATTATTATCTAAAGTCTAGCATTTAAAAAGCAAGATATATTTTAAAAATTAATTACATCAAATGTCCTTGTAAAATAAATTTGATCTCCTTAACTTTGTACTCGCCACAAAGCAGTTTTAATAATTTGCTATGATTTTGGGAGCAACAAGAATTCCATTACAGATAAAATTAATACAATCTTACATTTACAAGTAACTTATTATTCTTGGCAATTAATGACTACACATAAATATTACTTCTAAGAATTGCTTCTATTTAGAGCTTCACAGGCTATGGTAACAGAAATTTTTTTTCCGAACTACAATATGTCAATTTTAGCTGTACATAAAAGAGCCAAAATTGGTAATAAAACATGCCACATAAAATATGAAAAAATAAGAAAGAAGTCATTCTACAACCTTCTCTACACGTCACATAAACTCTTCTTTTAACAAGTGTCACCTGGGTACCTGCCTGCTGTGCCAGGCGTCGCACTGGGCAATGGGCACATGGCAATGAGGAAGCCCTGGTACCGAAATGTAAATGCAGAATTACAAGCACAGGATGAAAAGTGCTGCAATGTGGATAGAGACACAGTCTCCGGAGAGCCCAGTGGCACAGCCACTCCCTGCATCTATTTCTCTTCCAAACGAAGACGAGATAAACTCAGACATCTGAAACGAGAAGGAATACCCAGGACCCGGTGTCTTGTATCCAACAGCATCTTTCAGAGCTTCGCTGCTAAAGTCCACTACTTCCAACAGAGTCATTTCTAACATTCTCTGCAAGGAGCATACATTACATTTACATTGCATTTTAAAAACGATTTCCATCACAAATAAAAAGAATGTTCCATTAGAACAAAAGCAACATCATTCGCCATGTAAATGTTGAGAACAAAAACGGGTTAACATTAGTGCCCCAAATGAACAACAGGTGCATTTAATAAAATAGCTATTCAACTGCCTAGGAGCCAATGTATCATGTTATTGGAGTATTTGCCTATGTGTGTTTTACACTGGTCTTCAGTAAGTTTACGCTCTCACTGGGTACTTCAATGACGGCTTTCTCTTTCCAATTATGTTTAAACTAGCAGTTTAGGATGCTGTGATTTAAAGCATTGGCTAACTCATAGCATAACAGAAGAGTGCAATTAATTTAAACCTGCAGGCTGATTTTTACCTTCTCTTATTGCAGGGACACTGCAGAGGATGGTCACACACAGCAGGGGCCCAGGGAAGAAATCACTTGCTATGCAGCACGATGAGGATGGGGGACAGGAGGCTGGGAAGGTTTGCCCTCACACTGCCAGCCATGCTTGCACACTGCGAGTCATTGAAATTCCACGGGAAAACAACTGGAGAACAATGCTGCAGATTCTCAAGGCCCCCAGCTTGAAAGAGCTACACCTGAAATGGCCCGAGGCACTCTGAGAGCTGCCTAGAATTCACAGGAGGATGAAACCTAAATTGGAAATTACTCATCTGCTTATCAGTATGGACTGTATGGTGCAGAATATTTTGTTAATCTCCACATTCCCTTTTCACCAATGTTTTTTGTACATTATGAGACACTGCTGTGTTTTTAACTTCAAAAACAAGAAAA